CAATTAAATTATTATATTGAATATATTATATTATATACATTTATTATATTTCTTGAATAATTGTCCTAATTGGAACTTCAGTTTTTAGATTTTCAGTCGTTTGTTAAAACCAATCCCACCAATTAAAAGTATGAACTTAAAAGTATGGCTATCTCTATAGAAACTGTAAAAAATATGATGGCACAACATGTGGAACATTATTCTACATTGCATCAAATTTTAGATAATGAATCCGTGATAGTTAATGAATCTTCTGAAATTGTATGGCCAATAAGCAATGATGAAGAGCTCGATAATATTGAAAAGTTGCTCGATAATCATTTAATTAGGAATAACCAAGTAAATTTCAAGTATTCTTCAATAGTAAATATAATCATTTACTAATTTATTTTTAATGAACAGGCCATTATTTTATCAAGATCAGCTGGCATTAATACAATTCGAAGAATTATGCAACAACTTTTTACAGATCAAATTTCTTCGTCAATATTCATACTCTGGTTTTAAAGGAAAACAAAAGTTTTCAACATTGAAATGTTGCAGATTATTATTTGGTAAGATTTTTTTATGAATATATATTGTAATAGTACATATTTTCAAAAGAACATTGGTGAAATCGCATTACTAATTAGTAGCTACTATAGATGTCAAATTAATATTATACCTTTTCATTGAGTATGTGACATACTCAATGAAAAGGTATAATATTAATTACAGTGACTGTAATGGATGTTTTAAATTTGAGTTTAACGACAAACCCATTTTTTAACCATATTTTTATATAACAAAATTACTTTCATTACAGATTCAATAAGAAAAATCAAGAAATTCGATGCAGTACCAGATGTTGATATAATAAACGCTCTATCAAAGTGGATACCACAAGCTACAAACCGTATTCATAATAAAGAATCTAAATTTAAAAATTAATTAGCATTAAATTATTATAAAAACGATTTTTTTATAAAAAGCTTAAAATTTTAATTTTTTAATTTTATATTTTACTATTATTTATAACAAATCATAATCTATAAAAAGGATAATAATATAGATAATATTATGATTTACAAGAGGCATATACATTTTTTTTTGTTCGTTATACTTATATAATAATGTAATATATTATATTGAAATAATATACATATACATATTATGTATAATGTATATTTTATTTTTTAATTAAATAAATACGATGAAGTTTACTAATTTATTTGACTTATCATCATTATTGTGTACCTATTAAATTCATAATATAAGTCTAATTATATTAAATAATAGTGATAAAGGTATAAGAAATATATATAAATATGACACTGTAATTACTAATCAGGTATTACCTATATATTATATACTCTTACATAGTATGCATATTATAACATAATACCAAATATTTTTTTAATATATTTTAGTGTTGAAAAAAAAGTTTAAATATTGTGACAAAACTTATGGAACACAATACTTAATAAAAATAAAAATTACTTATTGGTTTTAAAATATTGTAACAATATTAAGAAGGTATTTAAAACAACTTGTCACAATATTTTCAAAAGGTTTGTTGCAAGTAGTTGTAACAATATTGCTATCAAATATGTTCAAAAGATGCATATAACATTGCTACAAAATGAAATTAAATATTTCCTCAATGATGTTTTTTTCTGCCATTTGGTTATACAACATGTTAGAAATATTTTAAACATCAGAAAATCATGATAAACACATATTGTTGCAATGATAATCGGTTATCAACAATATTTTTGAAATATGATATTGCTATCTGGGTAGGTATTAACAACTTTCCTTCGCATAAGGAATATTCTGTGGAAATCGCTGAATATCTTGATTGCAGAATCACCTTTTGGTATAAAAAGTAGCAATAAAGAACATAATATTTACTAGGTTAATTATTAGTAGACTAATACATTATAAACTTACTTCCTGTTTTTAAAACTTCTGCCAAATATTTATAACCGTCTTTCCATTTGACGTAATACTTTTGTCCGATAATAATTTTTTTTTTTAAACTTTTTTCTGCTCATAGTTGTATAATATTATCGTCGACAAAACGGACTACAATCCAATCTAAATTATAACAAATACTTTTTCAAAACATTGTTTTGCAGTAGTTAATTATTTCTAATTAAATAATAGTAAAACAATTTAAATTATAAATAAATAATGCTTACCGTGAGAATTGTTGATTTTTAATTTTCTTTTACCCATATTTGTGTATTTGGAAGTCAGGCGTGTATTCAAACTATCATGAATGTATGAGTAAATGCATACAAAATTTAGTTTAATGTAAATATAAATGTGTTAAACCGATCAACATTCAACCGGATAGTGGCGAACGACGACGCTGAAGAGTTGTTTTCCTGACTCCAGTTCATGGTGTTTTGTGGCTGGGATGTATCTATTGGAGGTAATTCAAGAATCTGGATATCTTCTAATTGTTCTGTGGTATTGGTTGCACTTGGGCTGTGTGTAGTTAGAGAGTTTCTGAGGGTCTGTGTGTTTGGAATGCTGCTATGGAAAATTTGTTTTGTACATGACACGGAGGTGTGTCCCGAGGCTTTGCATAGAAAACAAGTTACTATGTCATCGGTGAAAAAAATTCTGAACTGACTTAATTTATTGTATTGTATTGTGTGTGTGTGCGATCGCCGATCGGTCGGAAGAATCGTGTACGAATATTATTTTGTAATTTGTTTTTCTTCTTAGTTGTAACTAAGATACACGTTTCGACAACCGTTACTGCATACTGGCTCGCGGCGATGTGAAATAAAAGTACCTATAACTAAAATATTGTGTTTTATTCATAAAATAAAAATATCCTTTTTGGCCATCCTAAGGGTGATGTAATCTATTACATTATATTAAGCTTTTCATACTACAACTTCAATCTTTATTATGTAATACTTATTAACATAAATGCATATCATAGTACCTATGGTAAGTTATATCGATCTTATTGATACTCATATAGATATAGTTCATTCCTTTATTTTGTACACTGAATCCCAATTCCCACAACGCCCATGACGTATGTTACAATAATATGGTATGCAGCTCCACGGTCGTGGCGCGAGCTAAGTAAAAAACATAAAAGCGGCGGCACGACAGTGTACCACCGTGTAAATTTCGGTGTTTTTTGTCAGATGAGATTATTAATTATCTACTGAATCAATTTATACCTAGTAAATTGCAAAACATGAGGAAAATCATGTAGATGATCCTTTTGTAAAAATCATAAAAATCGTATAGTTAGAAATTAAGTTATTAAAGGAAACGTGAAACATTTTTAATGAAAAATTATATTGGAATCTGGAATCACGGCGGCCGCTTCTCGCGTTGTCGTGCCGACCGACCCCCACTCACGCTCCCCCACTCCCAGTCGCCCCTCCCGGTCTCCCACTACGGCCTCACACTATTACGTGTATTATCTATGGCTACGTCGCATTATATTATTACTACTTTATGTTAATATTTTCGTTTCATTGTTTCATTTCGTTATCGTCGTCAGCCTGCAGTAGACGTGCACGTTCCGTTCTTTGCATTGCTGCTCATAGCGTGTTGTCTAGTCTGTCTTATCTAATATTAAACCATTTAAAATACGTGCATAGTACATTACATGTTGTCTATTTGCCTCATAGCTTTTAGTTATTGACGCTGGACTTACGCTGTACATGCTTTTTATGTTACGTGTCGTTATTGGTCATTATTTAATTACACATTAAAGTAATTAGTGTTCTAAAAATACGAGCTATAAAGTTACGTAAGTATATAGTTCGTAATTAGTGTTCGCAGTATTCGCACTGCGTGTACGGCTCACGCTGGACTTGTCCGGTATATTCCGTTTTAAACTGTGTTCGCACCTCGCGTATAACTGAACAATAATTTATAAACCGTTTAGTACCTAGAAAACTGTCTAAAACATGAATTAATATCGATATTAACATGTTTGAATTGCTATGATGTTAGAACCAATAAAATGCCCAACTATATATTACCTCTAGCAGTTATTGAGAATAAAGTTACATTAAATTCATTATTTAATGAATTTAGCAAAGAAACAATACTTGAAATAAATTGTAGTACCTAATTGTAGGATCACAGGAAACCATTCGAAAGTAATGAACGTATCTAGTACAAGACAATATTTGTGTATACACTATACAATTACAATTATGGAATGAATTACAAGAAAAAATGCATAATGTATCATTAATATCTTCAACAACATCTTTAAAAGTTGATGAAAAAACGTATAGAATATGTTCTGCGATTTGTCATCACGGGGAATCATTACATCATGGTCATTATACAAGTTTAATAAAAAAATCAAATCTTTGGTTCAGATGTAATGATCTCACTTCTAATAAAGAAAGATGGCCTAGAGGTGGCAATGACATTTATATGCTAATCCTCGAGAAGCAAAATTAATAAAAATGTATTGAGGTATAAATGATAAAAATTGGTGTTTGTGCAACGGCGCTTTTGCTCCGCGGGGCGTCGCGTCGGGTGTCGAACATTCGCGACGATGAACCCCGTCCCTCTCACCCACCCGTGATCGCGCTGCCAGCCGCGGGCTACGATCGTCAATCCCATCGCCATTCCCCGTCAGTAGGTCATTGTACGGTATTATCATACCCCCCCTGTTTATAACACTATTGTTTTGACTATTTTCTAACTTGTAATAATACAGTTGTTCAGTGCCACCAGTGCACACCTTCAATTCGTGTTCGCTTATTTAATAGTATTGTAAGTTGTTAGGTTACCTTACTCTTTTTACACACACAAGTCACTTCAGCTTGCAAATACCCGCCGCAAGTGTCGTACGGCCAGCTAACGACCAAAGGTTCAATATCTCCGTGACGGTGCGCAAACATTTGGTAGCAGAGCGTGGTTAGGAACCTTATGGGGGGTCCCAGCCAAGCGGCGTATTGAATTGTTAGCTTTTGTGTGACCTGTACAGTGTGCGTACTGTAACATAATCGCGTAAGATGGTCGAGACCAAGAAGGAGTTCATTGAGCGCGAGGAGCGCCGTCGCGCGATCGCAGCCCTTAAGCGGAAATCCGCGATTGAGGGTATAAAGGCAGTCCATGTCATGATACCGCGCGCGAATTCCGATCCAGACTTCGTCGCCGAATTCGTTTTAAATGTCGACGGGTTAGATACTGTGTGGTCTCAGTATAAAGCGGAAGATAACACGTTATTAGAATGCCTTGTTAACGTAGGTAAAGAAAGTGAATATGCTCCCGGACAATCGGGTGAATTACGTATTATTATCGTATTCCGCGAACGTCCTTCGTCCGGCTCGTACGGCGCCCACCCTGGGCCGAAACGTCGATAACTCATCATCCGTGTCCGACGCGTCATCCGGTCCAACGTTATCGCGACTTCCGGAAATCCCCCTACCAAAATTTGGAGGTGATTTCCATTTATGGCCGACCTTTCGTGACACATTCACCAAGCAAGTCGACAGCCGCCAGAACCTGTCGAACGTCGATAAGTTGTATTATTTGACGGGTTGTTTGCATGGTGTAGCCTTGGACGCGATTCGCAGTATACCCGCGTCCGACGACAACTATCAATTGATATGGTCAACGTTGTCCGCGCGTTTTTACCGCCCACGCATGGTCGCTACTTCGTTGTTAGAAAAAGTATTAAACGCGCCGTCGTCGTCGCAGGAGTCATTGCACGACTTATCCGTTTTTTTGTCTACATTCGACGAAAATATTTTTTTATTATCCGCGATGGACATTCTCGACCTCGGGTCGTTCATTTTGTTTACTTCGGCTTTCCGTGCGTTACCACTCGCTACTCGCAAATTATTTGAATCCACCATGACAAATAACGACGTTTATCCATCAGTCGATAAACTACTGAAATTCGTGCGGGATCGTATTACTGTATTAGAAAATGTGGGCGAGCCACGGAAGACTAGTGCCAAGCCGAAGCCGTTGCTTGTGACCGGGCCGTACGTCAGCCGCCGTTCGGGGAAAAGTAAGCCCGTGGCGCTGGTCGCCGCGAAACCCACGGAGAATCGTCCGCAGACTACCACCAACCCGTGTTCATGTTGTCAGGGTTCGCACTACATCAGCACGTGTCCGAAGTTCCGATCATGGTCACTGGACGATCGGAATCGATGGGCCCACGAAAATAAACAAGAAATTCGTTTGCCCAAACCGGTGTATATTTCCCCTTAAAATTGAAACCGGTGTGAATTTAAGAAATTCGTTCTACAAACCGGTGGAACTATTTTATGAAAGCGGTTTCATTTTTCTGAACCATATCGATGATATGGTTAGTTATACCGATGCCGATGCCCACCCCTTATTCAAACGTCTTATCACTGATAACAAGTTGAAAAATGAAAATATAAAATAATACAAATTTAATAATACAATTTTCTATTTCAACAAATTAATGTACAACTTACAACTTGTAAGTTACAAGGTCTAATGAATGTTCTAGCTGTTTGAATTAAAAATATAATTATAATTTATAATCAATATTCAGTATTCACCTGAGATGGCTCAATGGCAGATGTCTGAAACAAATATGGGCAGTTATATTGAAGGTAAATTTATAATTTATAATAGGTATTTACTGTTTATTGCCTTTTTGGAACTGACATTTGCCAAAGCTTTGAATCATAATATAAACTACACTTATAGAAATGTATGAAGATGAACCTATATTAACGCAGAGAGAGATAATCCAACAAATGTATTCAGAAATTCCCGATGAAGTAAATCATGACATTAGCGTCGAAGAAGATAAAGGTAAATAACCTACCTATGTAACAATATAATATATATGTTTAAAAAAACTTATTTATGTGCATTATGTTTTAATTGATATTCTGACATTTGACACAAAACACTTTTATTGATACTTGCGATACTGGATATTCCACACTGATCAATAGAAAAATTGAAATAAAATACTTAAATTGTCTTAATTGTATTTAATTTATTTTTATAGACAGAACATGGTCAGTAGAATCAACCAAGTTTCTTATAACATTGCGTGTCTCCTATAGTTCTCAATTTTTATCAGCAAAAAAAAAAGGTAAAAAATCTAAACTCTGGGAGCTGGAGGGCCCGAGAAACTCCACTGCCATAAACACGCTGGTGCCGACGGACTGGGCGACTTATAACTTTTACTTATATTATTATATTGTATACATACAATGAAGTTTCATATTGCAATGTTTTAATCAAAACTTAATTTAACACATTGTTTTACTATAAGTAAAATAAATTACTTAAATAGCAGCAATATAAATATAAATAAATAATATCACATAGATAGCTCTTTGTTTATATTTCCCTATATTAGGTATACTATTATATGAATATGATGATATAAGTATCACATGAAAATGATATTGGCATTGAAACTAAAGCAGTTATTAATATTTTTACTTAATTTATTATTATTAGTTTACAGTATACTAAAAAAAAATATTATGCAAACCATCAGAATACCCTTAACAAATTTTGAAAATAAAGTATGTCTTTTTCTCCAATATTTAAATGTGTTCGGTCAATCGGCAATACAAAAAAAACATTATTTAGTTTCTGATTAAACCTATAGGTAAATGCACTTACGTGGTGTCGGACCGCGCGGTTGGCGGCTTCTCGACGCTGCAGAAAGGCATCACAGTGGTGTCTACGACGTGCAGTGGCATCGGACTTCCGGCGGCAGACAACGGTGGCGTCTGCTCTTCCGGACAGCTGGAGGGCCCGAGAAACTCCTCTGCCATAAACACCCTGGTGCCGACGGACTGGGCGGCTTATAACTTTTACTTATATTATTATACTAGCAGCTGGTGTTACCCGGCTTTGCCGGTGGAATTTTTTCTCTAGAAGTCAGTTTTAAATAATTAACTACTAACCTAGATAAATATATAATATGGGTATAATAGGATAAATATGATATTAGGATGGACAATAATTAATATTAGAAAATAATAATGGGATAACAATAGAAAATTGAAAAGTTATTTATTAAATATTTTTTTATTTTTTTTCCAGAAGTGTAATATCATGTTATGGCATATCATGTTCATTCACATCATCAAATAAACATCCTTTATTATATTTTCTATTAAACCATTCTTCAAATCTGGAAAATAAATCGTTTACATTTGCGTAGAAACAAAATCATTTATTATTTATTTTTACGATCTTGTAATACATAATATTTTGCTTCTTACTCTATGTTAGTTGTTTTGTCTACGTCATAGGAAACTATTGATTGTCGATTCAATGTTAAATATCATTGATTTTTGTAGTCACTAATTTTGGTATTTAGTTTACCCATGAAATTAGTCGCAAATTCATTCCATAATGTTAAAGTTATCTGTAGGTATATTTAAAATTAAAAATTATTAAATAGTGAATCCAAAAAAAAAAAAAAATACCTTTTCATTACTATCATCGATTAGGACTATTTCTTTTTTATCGTTTATTTGGCCATTTTTAGAAAATACATTATCTACTTCACCCACAGCATCAATAACAGCGTTTATATCTCTAAGTGATTAATTTTTTTTTTTTTTGGAAAATTTTGATTTGATAATTGTTTTATAAGGTGAAATATAATGAGTGTTTCATGATAAAGGAATCACCCGGTATATTTTATAATTTCATACTTATAAATATTTGATCTTCTAGATTTTGAATTAAGTTTATTTTGGTGAACTTAAAATTTTCAATGTCCTTTTTTTCAATACGTCTAAATTCTTCTTTCAATCTAAAGAAATTATATTAATATTTTTTTCCTAATTTTATTAAGAACTACCAATTATTTACCTATTCGCCTCAGGAAAGTCGGGATTTATTATTATTTGTGATGCACTTGTTAAAACCAAAGTTTTCTGGGTTTTATACTCACCAATTTTGACATTACTGATGGCTATAATATCATTCTTTTTCCCTTCAAAATTATTAATATTTTCATTCCACAAATTTAGTACAATCTGCATATAATTTCTAAATTAATAATTAATAATACTTATATCTTATATTGTAATTATTGTCTGTTATTATCATTTCTATTTATGTTTTTAAAAGTGGACTATTGCTTAATATATACAAAATTAATGCTGTTTTTAATCCTTCGTCAATCAAAATGATTTCTTGTTTTTTATATGTTTCACCATTTGAAGCAGATATTTCTGTTGGTTCTTTAAGGTCATTAATTATTGCAATAATATCTGTAGAACAAGTTTTATAATAACTATCATAATTTTTTCCAAACTTATCTATATCAATTCATTTTACCAATGATGGTGTTTTTCACTTTATTAAAAATTGTATGAATTTTCATAAATTTATATTCTTTTATAATTTGTTCTCTGACTAGTGAGTAATTTTTTTTTGTTCCATTCAAAATATACCACTGTGATAAGCTGTGATTAAAAATAAATTATCAATATATTAATTTACAAACAAATTACAAAATATATCAATTTGCATTCTTATTTACTTTTTTACATCATCTAAATTAGGATTTATTAGAATTTTTGTGGTAAAATGTAAATAAACTCTTTATTCCATAATAATCAGAAACTTTGATATTTTTTAAAACAATTACGTCATTTCTATCACCATAAAAATTGTCTATTTGATTTGAATTCCATAACACTAATGAAATCTAAAAAGATTTATCGATAAATGATAATAAGTAATACAATACTTTTTTTTTAAATACAATACAATTTTCATATTTATTTTGGTGGTGAATCCTCCATTTGTTGTAGATCTTCTTCGATATCAAGGATATCCATTAGTATCGGTTCTTGTTTCGTTTAATAATGGCCGAGGATATTTATATTTACATTTTCCATCTTTCATGCACGGGCATTTTGGATTTAAGTTTCCACATGGCCCATGTATCATGTTTTTTCATTATATTAAATAAAATTTGATCTGCATCAGGATCTGGGAATTCTGCTGAAATAATTTTATCAATTTGATCTGCATGGATTTTGTTTTTCAACCATATTAGAATATGAGCATGAGGCAATCCTCTTTTTTGCCATTCTATTGAATACACCCATGATTGAACTTCTCCAAAAATATAATTTTTGGTTAATAAATTCATCAATATTCTTACTTTTTGTTTAAATACTCTTGCAATCAAATCATGACGATCCCGCGATTGTTGATTTGGCAATAATAATTGCGTTATTTCATCCCATTGACTATTGTATGTAAAAGTAATAAATAAACAAAGTCTCCCACATGATCGTACATAAATTAGTGCGTCTTGAATATATTCATGCATGTGCCTAGGACTGCCGATATAAGTTGATGGTAAAATACATTTTTAACCTGTATTTGTAATATGTTCATCATGAAAAAAAGCGTCTTTTAAATGGATATAATTGTCTACTCTCAGTTTTGATTGATTACACCGTATATAACGTAATCGTTCAGTTTCAATTTTAAGAAACGCAAAACGATAAATTGATTGAATAACTGACCATACCGAAGTAAATGGTTTTCGGGATTCTCACGTATCATAATTAGGTACTTGTAAAAATTCATTGCTGAAATTTATTTTAATGTTAATGCCCCAGTTTTTGGATTTATTTCTTTACATTCAAAATGATATCCGTCTTCCCCTTGCCAAAACATTAAAGGATATTGTAATGCATCATATGATTTATGGGTTTCAGAAATAGTTTTTAATTCTTGATTACGTCTCTCTAATATTATATCACGATTATTGTATTTGTTTCTACTGATAATCACAGCTACTTCTTTTGATATCGGTAAATTGTAACGACGTTCATGTTGTCCTGCAGGTATTTTATCAGCTGTAAGGATAATTGTATGTTCTTCTGAAGGCATTTTTTCCAATGAGTTTTTAAATATTTTGATTAATACATTATGTTCATGCAACAATTTTTGTAATGAGGGTACAATTTTTTTATTGATTTTAGGAACAACCGTACATCGTCTCTCTACTTGTAATTCATTATCACCTAAAAAATATATTTGTAAAAAAGACGGATTATTATCAACTGGAAGTAACGATCTTATTCTATGATATATTTGTCCTTGTATTCTAAATGTTGTGTTATATCCTGGTTCTTTTTTTCTGTTTGATCCAAATGAAGTCATTTGAAAACAGGAGTTATAGCTCCTAATATTATTCTTGAATTATTTTGAATCAGAAATATTACCGATTAAATATGATAACAAGGGTTCAACTGGACACCTTGGGACTGGTAGTTTAATTTTTCCATTTGCACAACATAAACCATTTGGTTCGTTTCTGTAATTTAATGCTTGACAATAAGTAAATTCATTATCCATTAACCCAATTGAAATATTATTTTCGAATTCATAGTCGGTTTCTGGATTGTATGAAAATGCTTTCATTTTTAAAAATTGTTCTAACTTTGATTTTCTTTGTCTTGTTCGTTCACTACTGTAAACATTAGTGATACCTTCTTCAACATTTTCTTGAGATTCATCTACTTCTCTGTCGTTTTTTTTCTTGTACTTTTTGTTTTTATCGAAGAATATGAAGATTTTCCAATAATTTTTCTTTTTCCCATAATAATAATCTATATACTTAAAGATAACATAAACATTAGTATATATAAGAACAGATCTATAATAATATGTTTTCAGCCAATAATTAATAATAATAAATAATTCCTATAAAACAATGTAATAACCCAGGGCAACCGTTCAAATATATGGCAAATTTCCAACGCAAATCTCATAATCCCCGTATGAACCCCTACCGGTGGCGTCCTGACATGAATATAATTGGCGATACGTTCTTCTTCTCGACGAAATGAATGTATTGAAAAAAAAATAAATTGAATAGGTCTAATTTCTCTTGAGAAAAATGGACACGATTATCCCGCCACTTAATTTTATTATATAGATAGATTGTATTCAAACAATGAAGTTTCATAATGCAATGTTTTAATCAAAACTTAATTTAACACATTGTTTTACTATAAGGAAAATGAATTACTTAAATAGCAGCAATATAAATATAAATAAATAATATCACATAGATAGCTCTATATATATATTTCCCTATATTATACTATTATATGTATATGATGATATAAGTATCAGGTGAAAATGATATTGGCATTGAAACTAAAGCAGTTATTAATATTTTTACTTAATTTATTATTATTAGTTTACAGTATACTAAAAAAAAATATTATGCAAACCATCAGAATACCCTTATCAAATTTCGAAAATAAAGTATGTCTTTTTCTCCAATATTTAAATGTGTTCGGTCAATCGGCAATACAAAAAAAACATTATTTAATTTCTGATTAAACCTATAGGTAAATGCACTTACGTGGTGTCGGGCCGCGCGGTTGACGGCTTCTCGACGCTGCAGAAAGGCATCACAGTGGTGTCTACGACGTGCTGTGGCATCGGACTTCCGGCGGCAGACAACGGCGGCGTCTGCTCTTCCGGACAGCTGGAGGGCCCGAGAAACTCCCCTGCCATAAACACGCTGGTGCCGACGGACTGGGCGGCTTATAACTTTTACTTATATTATTATATTGTATACATACAATGAAGTTTCATAATGCAATGTTTTAATCAAAACTTAATATAACACATTGTTTTACTATAAGTAAAATAAATTACTTAAATAGCAGCAATATAAATATAAATAAATAATATCACATAGATAGCTCTATGTATATATTTCCCTATATTATACTATTATATGTATATGCAGGGACGTATTTAGGGGGGGCATCGGGGGGCTTGGGCCCCGGGTGCCAAATTTTGAGAGGGCGCCAGCCACCAGGCGTCAGAATGGTAGAATCTTAGAAAATCGTAAAATAGTTATTTAAGTTATTTTATATCATTGTCATGAAAATGTTTATATTATTATCATGTCAAAATCATAGACCTACTTCATCGTACCAACTACAAAAAATTGATTACTGATAGCCTGCCATGTGTAATACTGAAGTTGGTAGTAGTGACTTACTGACTTTTAGACTTTGGTAGTTTGGTACCAATCATGTTATTGTTATTATCATTTTTGTTATTGTTGCCTGTTGGCCGTTGGCCTATGCATTTTAATATTTTTACTCTTTAGTATGTTATACCCATGCCTGATGCTCTGACGGCTGACGCTCTGTATTGCAGTATCCAGTCTTGAATAAGGTAAATATTTGTATTTTGATTATTATTTTCAGTTCTAATATTAACGTTATTATTATTTATTATCAAATGTAATTTGTATTCTGCGTACTGAGCTTATGGCGCTTTTATTATGCTTATTGCCCATCTTATTTTTTTTAAGCTTGTTAATCGCTTGTAAACGCGGCGATGGTTTATAGTAAAAAGCTTAGTGGAGCAGAAAACCGAAAACGCTCACATGCAAAAAGTGAAGCTCAAGCCAAAATTATTTCAAAAACTGCTAAATTACAAACATATTTTAGGTGCCCAGATAGACAGCCTAACCAAAGTATGTTTACTTACCTACAAAACTATACCTGTTATTAATTTTGCAAATACCATGCACCTATAATCTATATATACCTATTATTTACATATTATTATGTTATTTATTATTGTACATAATTTAAACTAAAACGTAGATATATTTAATCATTGTTATTTATGCTTAAATGCTTTCAGTTGAAAATGAAGTAAATAATACAAGTAAAATTGATCATAGCTGTACTGTTAAGGAAGATAATCTATCTAATCCAGACGATCTAATTTTATCAAATAACAGCAGTACCGAAACTAGTAAAACTAAATTGTCTACAGAATCTAAAGAAATAAATAATACACCAACACCATGTTTGTCCATGCACGAAGATAATAGTCTTCTTAAAAAATGTATCATTCCTGAGTAAGATTTTTTTTTCATAATAAGTTACAACTATAAATATGCACATAGGAAGACTATTTTTTTTAGTAGTTTCTTATGTCAAATTATGTTAGAAATTAAAATATAAATAAATGTAGTACACTGTACACTACTACACTCTGTTTATTTAAAATGATACCAACCAATACCACTATTCTCTAGTTATATTATGAATTAATCTCTATTGCCTAATGCCTGAATATTTATTTAAAAATTGTTATAATATAGTTATATATGTATAGTATATTAAATGAATATATTTTATCTTTAGAAATGACCCTGCCAATTGGATGAAAAATCAAGAAACGATAGATTATTTATCAATAAATGGATTCAATCAAAATTTGGAGTACAATAATTTCCATAAATCAAAAAGAACTTATAATCGAATAATTGGTGGTGTTAGACATACTCGTTTTCGATATTTGTCAAAAAGTTTTTTTGTATCTACTCTTGTTAATGGTGAAAAAATTAAAAGAACATTTTTGGTTTACTCAGAGAGTAAAGGATCAATATTTTGTGCACCCTGCTACTTATTTGGTGGTACTACATCGTTTGCCACAGTTGGCTTTTCAGATTGGAAAAAAGGAGAAGAAAAAATTAAGCGTCATGAAAATTCAAAAAACCACAAATTGTGTGTAATTAAAATGAAAGAGAGAGGAGAAGTATTAAATCGAATTGATCAAAAGCTGAAGTATCAAGTAGAAACGGAAATAAGTTATTGGAAAAATGTATTGACTAGAGTTGTAGCTGTTGTTAAATCACTTTCTTCTCGTGGACTGTCCTTTAGAGGTGATGATGACCATTTTGGATCTGTTCATAATGGGAACTTCATGATGAGCTTAGAGCTTATTGCTCAATTCGATCCTTTTTTAGCACAGCATATTGAAAAGTTTGGCAATAAAGGAAAAGGTTCAACATCATACCTATCTTTTAATATATATGAGCAGTTCATAAGTATAATGGCAGATAAAGTTTTACAACAAATGGTAAAAGAAATAAAGGCAGCTAAATATTTTTCCATCAGTATTGATTCTACTCCTGACATTAGCCATGTAGATCAACTATCATTTATTTTTCGGTATGTTCAAAATAATGGCAGTCCGGTAGAAAGGTTTTTAGGGTTTTTACCCAATTCTGGTCATAAATCTGAAGAATTAGCAGATGCTGTATTTTTAGTTTTAGAATCGCATGGATTAGATATAAACAACTGCCGTGGTCAAAGTTACGACAATGCATCTAACATGTCTGGTATGTATACAGGACTTCAAGCTCGCATCAAAGAAGTTAATCCTTTAGCTACATTTGTATCATGCTCGGCACACAGTTTAAATCTTGTTGGTGAATGCGCTGTAGACTGTTGTAGAAATGCTTCTGAATTTTTTAATCTGCTTCAAAATATCTATAAATTTTTCAGTTCTTCTACACATAGATGGGAAATACTTCAGAACAATTTAACTAAAACAGAAAATGTATCACCTAAAAAACTATCAGATACCAGGTGGTCAGCAACATCTGATGCAAGTATTAGTTTAAACAAAAATTGGAATGAAATAATTAATGCACTGTCTTTTATAAAAAATGATAAATCAGAAAAATCAATCACAAAATCAGAAGCTAATGGACTATATTTAAAATTAGACTGTCTTGAAACAGCTATTATGGCCACATTATGGGGTGATATACTAGAAAGATTCAACAAAACTAGTAAACAGTTGCAGTCAGTTGAGATTGATTTAGAAACAGTGGTATGTTTATACGAATCGTTAATTCAATATGTATTAGATTTAAGGAGTATGTTTGATATCTATGAAGAGAGAGCAATTAATAAATCCGGACACAAAACATATCAAAAAATACGCAAAAGAAAAAGAAAATTAACTGCAGATGAAAAAAGAGAAGGAGAAATAAATTTTGAAATTCGAGACTCTTTAAGGATTAATACTTATTACGCTATTATTGACAATCTACATTCTGAACTAGAAAAAAGAAAGTTCTACTATGATGAAGCCAATAAAAAATTTAACTTTCTATTTCAAATAATAAAATTATCACCATCAGAAGTTTATAAAAAAGCAGAAATACTTCAAAATATATATACAAATGATCTTTCGTCTTCATTTGCTAACGAGTGTATACAATTTAGAAGCTATTTAATGAGCTTAACTGAAAACATAAGACCTAAAACTGTAATGGATATTTGTAAACTGATCAGAACTGAAAAACTTCAAGAACTGTTTCCTTACGTAGATATAGCATTAAGGATGTATTTATGCTGTCCAACATCCAATTGTTCAGCCGAGAGATCATTTTCAGCATTAAAGAGGGTTAAATCTTATTTGAGGTCGAGAATGACTGATGATCGTCTTAATAGGTTAGCAATCTTGTCGATTGAATCTATACTTACCATGAATATGAGCTTTAATGAAATTATAAGTACATTTGCAAAACAAAATTCACGAAGAAAACTATAATATTTTTTTCTAAATGTTTATTAATTAATTTACCGTAATATATATTATATTTGTATTGAAAATGTTTTTGTTTTTAATAATCACCCCATATCAGAGTTAACTGTTATTATTAAAAGAGGGCGCCTTTAAGGAACAGTGCCCCAGGGCGCCAAAAACATAAAAACGTCTTTGTGTATATGATGATATAAGTATCAGGTGAAAATGATATTGGCATTGAAACTAAAGCAGTTATTTTTACTTAATTTATTATTATTAGTATACAGTATACTAAAAAAAAATATTATGCAAACCATCAGAATACCCTTATCAAATTTCGAAAATAAAGTATGTCTTTTTCTCCAATATTTAAATGTGTTCGGTCAATCGGCAATACAAAAAAAAATTATTTAATTTCTGATTAAACCTATAGAGTATAGGCAGTGCTTGATTTGGAAAAAAACTAGAAGGGGGACTCTGAGGATGTTTGATGAATGAGCGTTCCACACAAAATTAACTATCACATTACCGTGGGGGGCAAAGCCCCCCCCCCCTTCAGCCACCCATATTCCCAAAAAATCATTAAATGTACTATACAAAAATATTTTAAAAGAAAAAAAATACTTGTTTATTCCTTATTTTTTTTTTTAAACATTAAATGTAACATTATTATTTATTAATTAATTATTCTACAAAAAAAAAAAACGACGGTGGTGTCGGACCGCGCGTTTGACGGCTTCTCGACGCTGCAGAAAGGCATCACAGTGGTGTCTACGACGTGCAGTGGCATCGGACTTCCGGCGGCAGACAACGGCGGCGTCTGCTCTTCCGGACAGCTGGAGGGCCCGAGAAACTCCCCTGCCATAAACACGCTGGTGCAGACGGACTGGGCGGCTTATAACTTTTACTTATATTATTATATTGTATTCATACAATGAAGTTTCATAATGCAATGTTTTAATCAAAACTTAATGTAACACATTGTTTTACTATAAGTAAAATAAATTACTTAAATAGCAGCAATATAAATATAAATAAATAATATCACATAGATAGCTCTATGTATATATTTCCCTATATTATACTATTATATGTATATGATGATATAAGTATCAGGTGAAAATGATATTGGCATTGAAACTAAAGCAGTTATTTTTACTTAATTTATTATTATTAGTATACAGTATACTAAAAAAAAATATTATGCAAACCATCAGAATACCCTTATCAAATTTCGAAAATAAAGTATGTCTTTTTCTCCAATATTTAAATGTGTTCGGTCAATCGGCAATACAAAAAAAAATTATTTAATTTCTGATTAAACCTATAGAGTTTAGGCAGTGCTTGATTTGGAAAAAAACTAGAAGGGGGACTCTGAGGATGTTTGATGAATGAGCGTTCCACACAAAATTAACTATCACATTACCGTGGGGGGCAAAGCCTCCCACACCCCCCTTCAACCACCCATATTCCCAAAAAATCATTAAATGTACTATACAAAAATATTTTAAAAGAAAAAAAATACTTGTTTATTCCTTATTTTTTTTTTTAAACATTAAATGTAACATTATTATTTATTAATTAATTATTCTACAAAAAAAAAAACGACGGTGGTGTCGGACCGCGCGGTTGACGGCTTCTCGACGCTGCAGAAAGGCATCACAGTGGTGTCTACGACGTGCAGTGGCATCGGACTTCCGGCGGCAGACAACGGCGGCGTCTGCTTTTCCGGACAGCTGGAGGGCCCGAGAAACTCCCCTGCCATAAACACACGTACGTCACACCAGCCCCCCCATTTTCAAAATATTGAAATTTTATTTTTCTATCTTTTAGTATGCTTTTTGTACGAATTTGTAAGCATTGTTACAGAATTTGTATGAACAAAATGGCTCAGATATATCAAAAACCCGTCGGGGGGTTGGCGAGACGTCACGCCAGCCTCCGACATGGATTATTTGAAATTTTTTTTGTACCAATACATTGCCCTCTATTCGTACGTATTTGTACGCGCAATATAAACATTCATACGTTCTTCGTTCAGGGGGGATATCGAAAAACCCGTCGGGGGGTGGTGAGACGTCACGCCAGCCCCCGACATGGGTTATTTGAAATTTCAAATGCATACAATAAAAGCTCTAAAATTAAAATTGTTTGAACATACAAAGCGTATTTTTGAGACATTTGTAATTTCACAAGTGGATTTATTTGAACATTATGTACGTGGGTATAAATTAGCTTATATATTATTCCAGGAGTACATATAACTTTATTGTTTCATTTAAAAAAACTGTCACGGTCACCAATACAATCTGTACCTATGTATTGTAATATATTAATCTATAGGTATTTGAAAAAATGTTTGATTATACTTAGATACCGACATTTAAAAAAATTAATTAATTACGTAATATTATATTATTCTCCTATTTACCATCTACTCTTATTATGGTCAATGTTTATCCATTAGACGAGAGGATGGATAATTTCTGATCAAAATGCTGTACTATTTATTATTTCCAATACTTTAATTAATTTTTATTTAGTTAATTTATCTTTAGATTCAAACAAATTGGTGTGGTCATTATCTTATAGGTATTGGCTAGGCACTATCTCCGTGAACTAACATTTTATTAGTATTATTATTGTAAAATATTTTGAAATAAACTTTTAATTTACCTTTAGGCTTCCATTATTTAATATTATACACTATAGTAATTAAGACAATTTATTATAAGTATGCTGTATGACTGTATGCGTTTGAAAATTATTTTTTATTTTTATAATATATAATAGATTACCTATTATTATTGCTAATGACTGTTACACACGCGCTATCGTATTTTTGAGACTTTTATAATATTTAACTCGTATATTTATTTTAACATATTATAAGTGAGTAGTTTTTAAAATAGTCCAGTACCAGGACTACAGATAACGTTTTTGTTTCTACGCCCAAAATTCAAAGACCTTACGTTGTGTTTAATTACGACATTTTAAAATATATTAGGTATGCACAAATGTTTTTGTATAATTTTGTTAAACACAGCTTCAAAATGCATTGCAAGTGTTTACTAGATTATTCTCATAGTCTTAACCCCAATATTTTGGTTTTTGATCTCGCCGCACTGAAAGGTGCATTATTATCGTAAATATATTTCATAATAAAATTGTATCATGCATAGGTATAATACATAATTTGCACATGTGCCTATAATGGTTGGACTATACCTAGTTTTTATGTATTTAAATAAATTAAATTCACATACAACCCAAATAAATAAATTGTTTTGTTTAATGTTTATACATTGTGAATTTTTAAGAATGTTCACTTTTTTATGCTTATAAATAAAGCATATTATATCTAAACCAAAACTCGAACGAGTAGTTTTTCAGTTATAATATACCCGTTATACTGTTTTTTTTTTTAAATTTTATTTTTAAGGATTATTATCCTTGCCCCTTGTTATAAACATATTTACATATTAGTTATTACTATAATAACTCAGAAATTAGGCACCTAGGTACTCAATAAGTAGTATGGTTTTGTTCCTTCTGAGCACCTTTTTTACAGGGAGATTTCTTCAGTTCAAGCGGGCATTTCTACATACTTCACCGTTCATTTCTGAACACTTGTTTTACAGAGAGATTTTTTACAGGGATATTTCATCAGTTTAAGTGGAAAATGTCTACATACTCCACCGTATATTTCTGAACACCTTTTTTAGTAGGTAGTATACGATAAACTAATGATTGAAAATCGTTTGAGCATTTTTTAAAGTTCATTTTTGAAAAATTGAAATAACTTATAAAACAATTTAATAAAACTTTGAGAAAATAAAAGATAATGAAACACCACTTGACTATAAACGACGGGTCATTAGTAACTGATAATTTTAAAACATGATTTAACAAATGGTATAGTATGAAGCGGTTTCATAATTACAACTGTACATAATAAAAAAAAAAAATCTAGGTAGTTACTAAAATGTATACCTAAATTAATTTTAATAATTTTAATAAAAAAGTGCAGTGTTACCAATATGTGTGAGTAATACATTTATGAAAAATTTACTTAGATGCCGACATTAAAAATAAAATATTAGTTACGTAATAATATATTATTCTCCTATTTACCATTTAGGTACCCTTATTATGGTCAATGTGTATCTGTTAAAGTAAATGATGTTAAACATCAAAATAACGTTATTTTCTAGTAAATAACAATAATTACCTAATTAGCTAGAGATTATCGTGGTTTATTATTTTTTTGGTTTGATTATCGATAATTTCCACACACGATGGAAAATGTTGTTATACTCGTATAATGTTATCTTAATGGTATTAGTTACTAAGATAGCATTACAGCCGCAGTAGATAGAACTTCGGACTAAGATAGTCTGTAACCTGTCAGTCCTTTACGGTACGCGTAGAATCGACATCGCCGTTATAACGTCATACTATTTTGTATGTTAAAATATTCGTATAACATTGTGTTCATATTCTTTAAGTTGTATTGACTTATTATTAATATAAAATTCAATATGGACGATCTTGAAATGAAAAACAAATTTAACAACATTATTTCTGATTTAGTTAAAAAAAAACGTAGTGATAATAACTCCTTTCTAACTGTTGATGAGTACAATATTCGTATTGAACAATTAAAGCATTCAAAATTTGTGTTGATAACACCAGGAGAAAAAAAGTCTATGAAAGATTATCGAATGGTACGTAAATATGATATTTTAACAATAAATAATAAAGAGCGTCTTATTAAACCTGTACACGATGATACTATACTATATTACGTTACAATTGACGAGTTGTTCAATATTTTGCATTCGACTCATTCTACTATTGGCCATGGCGGAAGATGTAGAATGGATTCTGAATTAAAATCAAAATATTGCAATATCACGAACGAAACTATTATGGCATATTTAAATCTATGCACACATTGCCAAAAAAAGTCCTCAAATCCTAAAAGAGGCTTAGTTTCAAAACCTATTTTACATTCCTCTTTCAATTCAAGAGCTCAAATTGATTTAATTGATATGCAATCACAACATATTAATGGATTCCGCTTCATTTTAAATTATCAAGACCATCTTACGAAATTCGTATTACTTAGAGCATTATCGAGTAAACGTGCGGAAGAGATCGCGCACAATTTGTTGGATATTTATACAACTTTCGGGGCACCGGCCATTTTACATTCAGACAATGGCCGAGAATTTGTTAATTCAATAATTATTGAGCTTCATTCCATGTGGCCAGATGTAAAAATAGTGCATGGCAAACCTAGACACAGCCAGAGCCAAGGGTCTGTGGAAAGAGCTAACCGCGACGTCGAAGACATGCTAGCAACATGGATGGCACAAAATAAAAGCAAAGATTGGCCTTCGGGTTTAAAGTTTATACAATTTCAAAAAAACCGTGCATTACATTCAGGTATGAATATCATTTTGTATTACATGTTAAATATTTAATATTGTTTAATAATGTTTTTTCTATCAAATTCAATATTAAAGGCATTGGAAGGTCTCCTTACGAAGCAATGTTTGGGTGCAAAGCAAGAGTTGGATTAGCATCAGTAGGCATTCCAGTAAACGAACTTTGTAATTTAAGTATGGAAGAAGATATTGAAAAAATAATGCTACAGCCCGAAAACAATGAGGATAATGAGATCATTGACGAGAACAGTGAAAATAATGAAATCGGAGACGAGAAATGTCTTGGTTTGTTAATTTTTTTTAAATTATAAATTTAAAAATTAATTTAAATTAATTAAACTAATTAAAAATTCTAAATAATGCAAAATAAAAGTCTTTATTGCTCGTTTAAAAAAAAAATTCGAGTTATAAATAATAATTATAAATTTTACTTCACCCGACCCCTGCATTTCGGTCATTTTATAATTATTTTAAATAGGTATTACTTTTTATTTCAGTCAACAAACGTCAAGAAAATATTACAAATGAAAGAAATAATTCAATTCAATGTTTAAAAAAGCAAGCAGAAAGGATGACGACACAATCAAATAAAAAATATCAAGAGTTGGAAGTCGGAACAACTGTTCGTATTTCCATTCCTGACGTTGATAGAGCCCGTGGATCCCCACGCAATTTATTAGCAGTTATTGCTAATGTTGACAACGGCTTTTATAAATTATGTAAGTAAAATAAAATAAAAAATTTAAATTTATAGGTATTTATGTATTTATATTTGAATTAGGTACCGAAAATGGTTTTCTTAAACACAAGTATACGAGATCTCAACTTGTGCCATGCAAAGAAATGTTGCTTGATCTCAAAACTCTGGTTGAATCATCTAAAGAAAAAGAGATAACACTTCGAGAAGCAGCAGGATGTAGTAGTCTTATGGGCACACAAGGCTATCAAAGATGTCACTGTAAAATGAAGTGTAAAACAAATAAATGCACCTGTCGATTAGTAGGAAAATTATGCAATTCAAAATGTCACAGTTCATTGTCATGTGAAAATAAATAATAATATAACAATTTAAATACAAATAACATGATTAACTAATATTGTTTGGAATTAACGTAAATCCTTAGTTATTAACGTTATAAGCCTTGTAAAATATTTATTATTATCTATTAACGTTAATTGCTAGTTAATAACGTAAATATAAATTTAACATCTTTTACTGTAACATATCCATTACACGAGAGGATGGATAATATTAATTTCTGATCAAAATGCTGTACAATTTATTATTTCCAATACGTTTATTAATTATTATTTATTTAATTTTTCTTTAGATTCAAACAAAATGGTGTGGTCATTTTATTATAGGTATTACTGGTATTAGCTATGTCTTACACTATGTCCGTGAATTAACATTTTATTAGTATTATTGTAAAACATTTGGAAATAAACTTTGAATATACCTTAAGGCTTCTATTATTTAATAATATTTACTATAATAATTAAGACAATTTATTTTAAGTATGCTGTAAGTATGAATGTTTTAAATTTAGAATAGATTACCCTCCAACTTTTTTCCTACCTACTGACTGTTACACACGCGCTAGCCGACAAAGGTGGCCGTCTATTGTCTCTTGACTCTACTATACTGCCTTTTCTTAAAATAGTTTTCATGTGGAATAAAATTATAAAGGCACAATCAATTGTTTAAAAATAGGTATAATAATTTGGTTTAAAATATTAGGTAGGTAGGTACCTATCATTAGCTACGATTCTGCAGTTGACAGTCGACCATCGTGTAGTGGAGTGAGACAAAACAGTTTTTCGTACTTTATATTTTATTTTTTAATATCTAAAATATATTTTTAATTTGCTTATTACAAATTACAATACAAAATCATGGTTGGGAGGAAACCTTTAGTGGATCTACTAAGGATCATAAACGCAGTACTCTACTATAAAAGTGCAGTACTTGAAGAAAACAATGGTGTAAAAAGTAAGTACCTACATTTTTATTTAAAATTGTAATAATATAAACACATATAGTAGATTATAAGTACCTATATTAGTATCTTTAATTCCATATTGAAAAAAATTAATTTTTGAATGAGATATTTTCAATGGTAGGAAGTTCTACTACTACTACAGTACTACCTAAGTCCTAGTTTAATGAAAAGTAAGTAGTTAGGTAAATCTCTGAACAGTAGGTAGGTACCTAATTAAGGTTAATTTCAATCTTTGTTTCATGTGATATAATATATCTAGTGATATAGGTATTATGTATATAATATATGTTTATGCATTTTTTTTATAAATACAAATAAAAACAAATCCAATTTAATCAAAGTATATAATATTTCTGAAGCTAATTCATGAATTTTAATTAAATTATAATCTTATTATTTTAGAAATTGTTGTAGTATCAAACACTGTATGGTCAGATATCACTAATCGACTAGGTGGTTCTATTAGCAAAAGTGCGCTTTATATATTTGTTCAACAAGGACGCCATGGTATACATGAAAAGCTTGGAATTGGTATAGTAAACAAGAGACTTGACTCTGAAAATAATGTTCAAAGTGTTGAGCCTATCGTTGCATTTGGTAATGTTATAAAATTACCATAAAATATTTTCAAAAATAAAATACAATTTAAAATTTAAATAACAATGTGTCTTAAATCTCTTAATATCGAATATTTTTGATTTTTTATTTATTTACTAAATTACATACCTACTGGTTGATATTTTATGAAATATAGGTACTTATAATTTAATATTTATAGATGAATCTAGTGATAGCAGTGGTGACAATGTAGACAACTTACCATCAAAACATTTTACCATTACATTGTCTGTTTGTATGTTCAAACAATTTTAATTTTAGAGCTTTTATTGTGTGCATTTGAAATTTCAAATAATCCATGTCGTGGGCTGGCGTGACGTCTCGCCACCCCCCCCCCCCCCCCGACGGGTTTTTCGATATCCCCCCTGAACGAAGAACGTACGAATGTTTATATTGCGCGTACAAATACGTACGAATAGAGGGCAATGTATTGGTACAAAAAAAATTTCAAATAATCCATGTCGTGGGCTGGCGTGACGTCTCGCCACCCCCCCGACGGGTTTTTCGATATCCCCCCTGAACGAAGAACGTACGAATGTTTATATTGCGCGTACAAATACGTACGAATAGAGGGCAATGTATTGGTACAAAAAAAATTTCAAATCATCCATGTCGTGGGCTGGCGTGACGTCTCGCCACCCCCCGACGGGTTTTTCGATATCCCCCCTGAACGAAGAGCGTACGAATGTTTATATTGCGCGTACAAATACGTACGAATAGAGGGCAATGTATTGGTACAAAAAAAATTTCAAATAATCCATGTCGGAGGCTGGCGTGACGTCTCGCCAACCCCCCGACGGGTTTTTGATATATCTGAGCCATTTTGTTCATACAAATTCTGTAACAATGCTTACAAATTCGTACAAAAAGCATACTAAAAGATAGAAAATAAAATTTCAATATTTTGAAAATGGGGGGGCTGGTGTGACGTACGTCAGATAGCTCTATGTCTATATTTCCCTATATTATACTATTATATGTATATGATGATATAAGTATCAGGTGAAAATGATATTGGCATTGAAACTAAAGCAATTATTAATATTTTTACTTAATTTATTATTATAGTATACAGTATACTAAAAAAAAATATTACACAAACCATTAACGAAATAATATTCATTTATTTACAAGGGTATAAGAACAAAAATGTAATAGTTCTAATTATTACTGAATGATATGATGTACCTACCTAGCTAAAAGCTTAAAAATCTAAATCAGTAACTGCGTGAATACTGTTTTTAGATGATAAAAACTTGGTTTTCATTTTGAGGAAGCTTCTTCTACAGATAATCCTAATTGTAATTAATATGTTAAAATAGTAAGTATAGTAGAGATATTACGTGTACTCAAGGGTGGGTAGGGATGGGTCGTTCGCGAACGATTCGTTCAATTTGAAGGAATCAGTTCAGTGAACGAATTGATTCAAATTCGGAAAGTTAGAACGATTCGTTCACAAAATTAATTTCGTTCGTAACTTCATTTGAATCTGGACCGACTACGAATCATCAATATTGTAATATTATTACCAATGAATATGATTCGTTATTTCGTTCACTGATTCAAGTCTAATTCAGTCTCAAAGCAGCCGGCTGCACTTTGGCAGCTGTTCCCCGGCCAATCCATTATACAATTACCTACCTTGTGGTACCAACTATCAGTTAATATGACTGTAATGATAACTGATAAAATTTGGATAATACTATCTTAAATCATAATATAGTAATAATATGGATGGAGCCATGAATTGCCAAACAATGTTCAACAATATTAACATGCGTCTCAGAGTCTCAGACCGCAGTGATTTTTTGCTTATAAGACTTTGTGCTCTTGACTAGTGTTTTGTATTTATTAGTTTAAATTATAATTATTAAATTATGACTTAAGAAAAATTAAACAATATTATTACTTAACACACTATTTTATTTCTTGTTAAAGTTATTAAAATATTTTATATTATCATAGTTCTTTTTGTGATTTATTAGTTTTTAATGTTCTTATTTCTTATTTAATATTTTATACATACTGTGTTTGTAAAAATGATCTGCGTTAAATCTGTGGAGTAAATTGTATTAATTATAAGGTAAGATATGTAATGAATTTTTTAATTACACAATGTTATCTTTATGTTAGGTATTGTATGAAAAGAATATAATATTAAACAAATTGTCATAACAAAATAAAACTAAAAATGTAACTGTTTATTATATACTTAACAAAACGTCTGCACCTTACCGGCTTACCATCAGTATTATATACATTAATTATTGCGGTTGATAGGAGCACCTGTCTATAGCTTATCGCCGATGCGTGTGCCGACACACTTACATTACTCGCTGTGGGACTTTCCTCACTATTTTCTTCATATTGCTCCGAAGTGACATTACTTTCCGTCTTATTTATTTTTAAATGTAATAATGTGTTATGCGCCTTATGACATTGAAAACATTTTTTGCCATCACATTTCTTTCCGATATGATTCCGCATACATATCTTGCATAACTTAAGTTCACCCACCCTTTTTATTCGATCGGGAATGGGTAAAGCTAGAAGAGACGGACATTTATATATTGAATGCGCTAATTGGCAATTATAACATTTCATCCCACCATCATATGCCGGAAACGCTATCGATTTGTGGTTATTTTTGTTTTTCTTACCGCTAATCATATTATTTTTTATTTTTTCGTCATTACGAATATTTATATTCGAAGAGGTCTCCACTATTTTTTTTTTTTTTGCTTCCATTATTTTGAATCTCTTTTCTAAAAATTCAAGTAACACTTGTACTTTGGGTATTTCATTTTTAGGGGATACCGTTTCCCACGCTTTAAGTGTACTAGAATCCAACTTAGTTGCTATAAGGTGTAATAATATTGAGCCCCCCTCCTTAGGTTTCTCACCTAATGTTTCTAACGCGCTCATATGACCGTTTAACTGATCTATTAATTTTCTTAATTGCACAGCTTCTTCATTTATCGCCGGTATATCGAACAACTCTTTTGTGTGCGATTGCACTAACACTTTTTTATTATTATATCGAGCTCCCACGCTATTCCATGCTATGTTATAATTTGCGGCCGTTGTTTCTATATACATTATAACCTGTGCCACCTCACCTTTTAGACACGAGCGCAAATGAAAAAATCGCTGTATATCGTCTATACGTGGGTTATTATGTACCATTGCTATATAAATATCGTGGAAAGCTGACCATTCCTCATATGCACCCGAAAATTTTGGTATATCTATCGGTGATAATTTCATTTCCGCGGTTGCACCGCTGCAACAAGAATTAGCGCTACAATTAATTGCGTGTGCTGTATTATGGCCTATATAGAAGCTGATTTTTGATCACCATTATCCTTTTTTGTGCTTACCCCTTAACTTGGCAAGCATTAAAATATTAGAATGAAAATTTTAAAGTAGATATTT